AATGAAAATTATTATAGTGTGTTTCATAATTTGCAACTCCCGTGCCCAGAGTGTGGACATAGATTCCAAAATTCACATGATTAGTTTGGAAAAAAAAGTGAGAAAGAAAATGAAGAGAAAATTGGTCAATTAAATATGTCTTATTGATGTAGTGCAGTGGTTCTTAACCTTGGGTTACTCAGGTGTTTTTGAACTGCAACTCCCAGAAACCCCAGCCAGCACAGCTGGTGGTGAAGGCTTCTGGGAGTTGCAGTCCAAAAACACCTGAGTAACCCAAGGTTAAGAACCACTGATGTAGTGGACCCTATTTCTGACCCAAGGTTAAGAACCACTGATGTAGTGGACCCTATTTCTGAATAACACTGCAGTGCTAACTCAAAGATGTACTGGCTGTAGTAGGTTAGGATTAAGCCTGTACCTCTTACATCACCTTCATTATATTTGCACTGTGTTGTCAACCTCAGCCAATGAAATGATTAACCTCTGCCCATCAAACTCTTCCTATTCCACATTGGTGAAAATCCTCTTGCTTAACACAATAAATTGTAATAGAGTGGGCCCATTGAAACAGTAGGATGTTAGTGAGTCAACTCCTCTGTAAAATCTTATTGCTTAACTTTGCACCGGTGTAAATCAAATAAGATGTGGCACTGGAAATAATTAATTTAAATTAGGTTTCCCATTCAGTTTCTGGGGCACCCTAGGGCACCCTTGGAGAGACCTTTGGGAGCCGTGCGGGGGACTTTAAAAGTGAGAAATTGCTGCTATTTTGCGATTAGTAGTCCCAATCCCAGTGGTAGCCAACTGGCAATTTTTTACTCTTAGAGTTTTCCTGTTCTCATTCCAAAGACTACCAAAGGCTTTCCTAGGGAAAAAGGGGGCCCTAGGGAGCCTTAGAAGCAGAAACAGGGACATGGGAAGTTTAAAATTAATTATTTCTAGTAGTACAATCTGATGTGTGCCTGCAGAAAGTAATGCAATAGGATTCTGTCCATTTATTTATATGAACCCACTCGTAACTGACTTGCAGAGCCTTGTGGCACAGTGGTTGGACTGCAGTACTGGAGTCAACATTCTGCTCATGACCTGACTGTGATCCCAACAAGATCAGGCAGCTGTCTCAGAGTTGACTCAGCCTTCAATCCTTTTGAAGCTAGTATATTGAGTACCTTGCTCATAGGGGTGGGAGCGACAATATGTAACCTTCATAATTAAATTGTAAACCACCCAGAGAGTGCTTTAAGCTCTATGGGGAGATAAATAAACAGCACACTTGCTTTTACTATGCTAAAGTAAGTTGCAGTTAGATTGGGCCCATTTGAATCAATGAAACTATGGCGGATTTGATTCACCCTATCCCCATTGATTCAATTGGACCACTGTAGTGCATTTTTTAAGCAATAGGATTTTGTTCATCATATACTACATACTCTGGTTCACTGACTGATCAAATATTATAGGCAGGCAAAAGGACAGTTCCTAGTCCATATTTCAACTTAAAATAGCAACTTTAAATAACAAAAATACAACAACTAGATTTTGTAATTCAAAACTTTAGTTATTTGTTTTCTAAGAAGTGGCTAATATTGGTTGGATTTTCTTTTAAAATAAATTATTGGCTATATAAATAAATTGCATTTATTCAGGCTTATTCAGGCCTCGCTTCATCTTCTGAAGAATTACAGCAGGTGATTTCCAAAACAGAACTGAAGCAATCTCCCAGAATCAAGCAAGATTTTAAATTTGTGATTACCCCTTTCCATGCATTGTGGATCTTTTATATGGTTCTTAAAAGAGGGCACCCAAGCAAAGGATGACATTCAAGTCCGGCTATTTCTGTAAAAGAAAATGTTCTTCCATAATTGCAGAAATATTGCTGAAAGCACTTCTCATCAAGCCACCATACTGGCTTGACAAATGGGTATCAAGTAGGAGAGGGTACTCTGAGTTCAGACTGGCATGGCAGGTAGGAGAGACACTAGGGCTAAAGTCATTTAGGATTTTATTGGAGTACACCCCAAACTCATGATTTGGGTGGTAACCAAAAGAAGAGGATAGATGTGTTGCCCTCTTAAAGTAAATCCATTTGTCTAATTTGTCCCACCAACTACACCATCAAAATATGGCTAAGTCTAGATCCAACTCATAAGCTTGGGGACTGATCTAAGATTTTCTGTGTATAGAGGGATATAATGTCACATTTTGACAAATACAGTGCCAGGGAAGGTGCAATTCAGGCTTTGCTGGTGATTCATCTGTAAATCTTCCCAGCTGTTTATGGTTTGAACAGAAGTATGATCAACTGCCAGATGTGGGGCAGAAAGAAGAAAATGTGAATGACTTGGACTTTCTTCTGAAGCTGTTTAAAGTCTTTTATTAGAGTGTGCAGATAGGGAAATCTCCTTTTCTTAAAAATTCAGAAGCACTAGTCAATGAAGTACGGGCTGTTCAATCTTTTTGCCATTTCCATGTCTCATGCAAAGGCACCAGCCATAAGGTTCCTTGGAACAAAGTAAAAAAAAAATCTTAAAAGAACCTGCTTAATTAGTCAAAAGACAACATATTGAAAACAAAATAATTATACTTTGTACATCGAAGGAAATTTCCCGTACAGTGATTCTTCAATACTATTTGAAAGCAGTACAGCATACTAAAATTGTTCTAACACAAGAAGAATGTTTTGTGCATGCTGAGAAATATAGTACCGGGGAAGGCTGCAAATCACAATGAAAGCAAAACAGTGCTGAGCAACAGACTGAATTGGAAAAAAAAAGTAATTATGTGACAACATTCTCTCTCAGCTAAAAAATCATCATGGAATTGGCAACTTAACAGGAAAGAGATTTTTAAACTTAGGCTGACAGGTGTTCTCAAGTTGTCACGTACTCTGGTCCAGAATTATTTTTGGTTTCTTCTTCTTGGCCTGTTATAGATGTCACTCTTTCTAAATATTGTTGATCGAGTTACTTATGAACATCCATAGCTCTGCACACTTCTTTTCTGTCTTCTTGAGGGTTTCGGTGCTTAAGTTCGTAGTCTCATTCTTTTCCTCCTTACTTTCCTCGTACACAGCTTCTTTCAGAAGTGAACATATTAATCCTGTATATAAAGGGTTGTATCCAGCTATGTCTCTCTTCCAGGAGAAAAGAGAATTTAAGCATATGGTTACGGTACTCCCTTATCTGCTTGCAGAACAATTTTGTCTAATGGACATTGGGAGCGGGAGGGGAAGGTACAGGGCAAGCTTGGTGAATCAGCAGCAGGTGGCTAAAGCAGTGAGTAGAAGCCATTTTGCTGATGCCTCTTGCTTTCATTCCATGACTCGTGCATACTCCCTCTCTTGATCATAGGGCATTTGAGTCTAATGGCCTCTATGAAGAGGATGAGGGCCAGGTTCCAACCTGGTGAAGCAGCAGGGGCTGGAGAATGTCATGGTAGCCTCATATAGTCAAATATTTATTGGACAGTCATTTGATTAGGGATTAATTAGGCTTCTTTCTATGGATTTCTTTTAGAAACCCCAGAGAATGAAATCTGTCAATAGGTGCAGGTCTTTCCTTCTTGGGAAATAGTATGTGCTAAATTCCATGTTTTCATAGATGTATGCTATGTCAACAAAACAGGATGTGTCTACAAGGAATATTTCTAGTGTGGTTTCCCATTGGGAAACAAGCTACACACATACAACCACTACGGAAGCGCAGGGTGGCTGTTAATAAAGATGTCAACAGCCGTTTAGTGCTTTAGATTTTTAAATGAAACCACAATCTTCCAGGTTTTGATTAATTTGCACAATTCATTCTATTCCATGAATTCCACAGTTTCATACCAAAAAAGGGGCATTTTTCTTGGTGCAAAACATTGATTTTTCCCATTGCAAGAACTATCTCAAGAGCATCAGGAAATTTCAATTGGCAGCTGATGTTTTCTTACTAGAACACAGATATATTGTTCCAGGACATTCTGGCAAGAGAAAATGGCAGCTGGCAACCATCAAAAAAAGCTCTAGGCTCTGAAGTGTTAGCATGAATGTCTGAATAACGAAGTTCACAAATCAAAGGCTTGGCAAAATGAACTTCACTTGAATATAAAAGAACAGGAAAAATATCTTAAATATAATTTTCTGCTTAGTATACAAAAAGTCCAGATGAAGGAGAAATCCAGCAGCTAAACAATAGTATGACCTGCTTGGATAGTAACAGGCAGGTTTCTCTTGTGTATCTCTACATGCCAGGTTCACACAAATTATTGTTAGAGTTGCATTGGATCCGGGCGTCTCATTAATGTAACTGGATTGCATAGGTAATGTAACTGTGGTTGAACTCCTGTGGGATGGATCTATGTCTGCACTCAGTGGAGTTTTCTTGGCACTGGAAGAAGGGAAGAGTCAGTAGTTTTCTTGGATTCTCTCCCTTACAGCTTCAAGTACCGCCTTCCACTAACAAGAATTAGAACACTTTACAACTGTATGGGAGGCAATGCTGTGGAGTGAGAACTGAATAAACCTTATATCTGAACTCTTTCCTCCATTGGGAAGCCTCCACTAGTTCCTGGTTCCCTGTGCAAAAGAAGGTGCTTTCCATTTGCAGAGGGAGAAATATGGATATAACCCTATATATTTAGGAAAAAAATGTATTTTATTGTATAAAAGATTGCACTCTGTGAGCCATTCAGTGTTTTTCCATCTGGTCTTGTTAGGGAACAGTGGGGGCAGGAAGAACTTCATTGAAATGAATGATTTTGTAGAGATATCATTTTCTGAAGATTAAGAAGTCTGTTAAAAAAAGTTCCAACAGTATTAGAAATACAAGTAGATTTTTTTCATATAATTTCTCCCGAGTGCCATCCACTTTGAGGTAAGTTTAGCCATCTGGTTAGAGTAAGAGCTCCATGTGAATGTCTTTATGTGATATATATTTGTAGAGAGCCTTTTAAAAGTATCCTTATGGACAGTACTAATTAGATATGTAATTTAATGCCTTTAACTGATTTATCAACAGCTCAAGTTGTTTGTAATTTAGGATTTGGGAACATCTCACCACGTACAGAAGGTGGAAAGATATTCTGTATCATCTATGCCTTACTGGGGATTCCTCTCTTTGGTTTTCTCTTGGCTGGAGTTGGAGATCAGCTAGGTACCATATTTGGGAAAGGAATCGCCAAAGTAGAAGACACATTTGTTGTGAGTATGCCAAGCTTCTTGTCCTGAAATGTAAATGTAAATATTTTTAAAAGAATAACAAGAGGTCTTGGACCCACTTTAAAGTGGCAGTAATAAAAGTAATCCTCATTCAGGTAGCTAAAAAGAAACTGCCCTGAATGATTCCTGAGTTATTTTCTCACCCCATAGAATTCCAGTGTATTGAGGGTTGCCACTCAGATTGTGGTTGGGGCTTGTTAGCAAAAGGGTTATGTTATGTTTATGTGTCTTGGCTTCCTTAACCAACTGTGAATTTCAGTTCCCCATTCTCCCCATGGAGCCAACCTACTGAAAAGAATATGTATTTTCTCCTCCTTGGTCTTGTGAGGCAAACATTGGCTGGATTTGTTGGGACAGTTTTCATTCCAGATGATTTTTGCCTGATAAACAGTAATGTCGGGTTAGGGAAACTAATGCTTAGCCCTTCCGAGGAGTCTGACAGAACTTTAGAGACATCCTGAGAGGAAAAAATAATAATAAGTTCATCAGAGCTGGCATTGACCCCAGTTAAGGGTTAATTCTGGAATGATACCAAACAATCAATGACAATTATATCAATATTCACCTGTGTATAAAAGTGTACATCTTTTCATTGTTACAATAATTCTTGGCAATATAAGTCTGTCTACTTCTATCAGCTTTATTTATCTACATTGCTTCTATATTCCAAATGCACAGAATACTCTAAAGCTATTGTAAAAATACAGAAGTCTTACATCTATGAAGAAAACTATAGGCACAAATACTTAAAAAAACACACCTTTCCTTGCATCTTATAAAAAGATGCAGGTATTAAAACTCAATTTATAAGAAGAACTTAAATCATCTTTGAATTAAAAAATTAAGACGTTTACAGCCTAAAAGAGAGACACTGAAAAACAAAAGACAGAGAATACATATCTTAAAATATTAAAGTTCTTAAAAGTAGGAATATATAAAAGAAAATAGCTTTCTTAAATTCTAAGCACATTCACACACACAGAGGGAGACATATTCACACACATGCACACGCACGTGCATGCACACATACACATGACATTTTAAAATGCTCACCCAACCATCTGTTAGCTTTCTTAAATTCTAAGCACATTCACAAACACACAGAGAGAGACATATTCACACATATGCACACACACGTGCATGCACACATACAGTACACACGACATTTTAAAATGCTGACCCAAAAAATCTATGGAGGAAAATCCATGATGTTTGTGAATTGCCTCTGTGCCCACCTGTTCTGCTACATACCTTTAGTTGGCATCTGGTGTATGTAGCACAGTGTGGAGCCATGTTGTTACAATGAGTTGAATGCCCTGTGTGCATGTGTCCTATCATACCATATTTATAACTAACTGTTTAAGTTTTTATCACTTTTATTACTTTCTGTAAACATTATCTCATCTAGTATCTGCACGTTCTAGGGGGTCTGGGTGGGTCTAACAAGATGTTTTCAATAGAAAATTCTATTGTTTTTGCAGGTCTTGCAGCTCTAGAAGTCTCCAATTCCTTATTTGGCTAACTGCCATTATTATGTGTTTTGTTATGGTTTTGACTAGCATTTTTTTGGGGAGCTGGATCTGGAGTAGTCTACAGTGGGGTCTCAACTTACGAACTTAATCCATATTGGAAGGTGGTTCTTAGGTCGAAAATTTCTTAGGTCGAATCTGCATTTCCCATAGGAATGCATTGAAAACCATTTAATCTGCATTTGCTCTTTTCCGTCCATAGAAACTAATGGAAAGCTGCTATTCCGCCTTCTGCCACTAGAGGGGGATATTTTTTTCTTTTTTCCCCTTAGGTTCAGGAAATGAGGAAGAAGGCAGGGAACAGTTTGCAAAGCACCTTAGAAATCTTTTTTTTCCAACAAAGCCAATTTTAAATCATGTTTTAAAGCATGTTGTGCTGGTTTTTTCAGCACAAAGACACACAGGCTGGCTTTTTAGGAGCTGAGCAAGCCTCCCCAAGCCTCTTCAGAGCCAGCCCATCAGCTGATAGGCAGGGAGAGGAGGGTACAGGAGCGAGGGAAAATCACAATTTTTAAGTTTCTGACCCTTTTTCCCCCTCCAGAAGCCTCTAAGGGGAGAGAGGGGGCACTTTTTTTCCTGTTTATAACTCGAGGGAAGTTCGTATGTCGAGTCCTTATTTCCCCTATAGGGCAGGTTCATAAGTTGAATTGTTCACAAGTAGGGTCTTTCGTAAGTCGAGACCCCACTGTATATGTATAAACCCCTAGAGCAATAAGACCTTGTGGCATTAAGGATCCAGGGCACTGTTACAAGATTAGACTACAGTATTATGATTACCAGTGTTGTGTGCTATAAGACTTACAAATGTCATTTCATATTTTCATATGCAACATAAACAATTCTACTCATTACAATATATTTTCAATTTAACCCTTAGTTTACTTCCACGCTAAACTGTCAGGCATGAAATTCTTCAGAGCAACATGATCGTATAATGAGCTTGTTTCCAGGTTTGCTGAAAAGCGGTGAATTGTTTTGAAATGACTGATGTAAACTATTTCCAAGCTATACTTTTAAACACACCTTCATTTTCAGAGCAATTTTTCCTGCACCCCTTAATCATTTTAACACCTTATAGACAAAAATTATCAAATATCAAAAGCAACAAAAAGAATAAGAACAGCAATGACAACAATTGTACATAGCAAGTTGCTGAAATTCAGAGATACTGCTTACAATAGTTTAGGCAGCACAGTACAGTGCTTACCTTGTAGGTCTAATTGACTTGAAGTTTCACTCTGGGAGACTAAAATATCCCATCCATGTAAATGAAAGTTAATTGTTTATATGCAGTGGGAAGAGATTTAAATTTTTTGCCAGGAGTGAACTGTTCATACAAAATTAATAACTCACAGCATTAAAGCTGATATCTTACCCTTGCCTTAAAGAAATAAGCAAGAGATTGGACACAGGATATATAACATAACCCTCTTTATCTTTACTCATTTCTAATTTAAGAATCAACATAGGGAACAAGGTGAAATGGAAAAGAAATTGGGGAGTTTGCAAACTGTTTTCCTCTTACAGGAGTTTGAGAATTACGTCTCAGCGAATACACTTGGTAGGAGTTGGTTAGTGATATGGGTTTGAGAAGCAAAGTCAGAGAAAGCATTAAGATGCTGGCCACTTCTGGGTTTTGTGATAATTCTTTCCAAAGCTGTCTATAAAAAAGAAAAAAAAAGACAAATTAATTTGTAGTCAGTGTTGTGCAACCATCACCCCAAGACTCTTGTAAAACCTTGATATTTCAGTAGTGCCTTTGCCAGAGGCTTTTTGTTTTAGAAATATGATACTATTGCATTGATTGTAGAAGAAAGCAAGAGGAAAAAGAAGCTGAATGAGTGGGCAACTTGGAGGCATTGCAGGACAATTGTTGCACTTGGTTTACTAATAAGTGTAAACACTGGGTGCGTATAAGGTTGACTTCCGTTCCATTTGTTGGCTTGATCTGTATGTTAACTGCAAAAATAATACAACAGAAGAAAAAAATGCTAAAGGAAGTGGAAAACCCAAGTAAGGACATGTCAAAGATTAGAACTGCTGTGGGTATGTTAGCACACTCATGTTTCCTGGAGCAAACATACGAGGTCATACAGATCTGTTGCTTCTTGCACCAATCATAATTTGATTGGCTGTCCAGCAAAAGGAACTCCGTCACTATCATATATATATGATAGTTTTATATATATTGTTTTATATATATTGTTTTATATATATTGGAATGTACTTGATATTATACCAATATCAACAATGCTGTAAACTATGTACCTGCATTTATATTGATATTAATTTTATTCATATTTTGATATTGTTTATGATTTTCATTGGAAACAACATCCTTCAGGGTAAACTATATATAAATCCAACAAGACTAATTTGTACAACTATATTTGCAGGAAACACAGTGCAATAAATATATGCATTTTACATTGTGGTGTGTCTGTTGGCACAGCGAGAAATTTTTCAGTGCTGTCCACTGACAAAGGAAAAAAACTGTTCAAAAATGTGTGAAATTACATTAAAAGTGTGTATTAGAACAAAATGCCTTTTTTAATCTGGAAGAAATATATTCTATACCTAAAAAAGTGCAGGAGGAAGTCATGGACCATTGCCTCCCATCTGAACCACACATGTTTGCCACCTCATGGTACAAACCCCAGTGAAATCAGTTATGCTTAGGACTGTGATGAACTTGGGGTAAGCAGCTTTGTAAGGCCCCTCACCCATCTATTTTTTCTGTTTGTTTTTTTCCAGTGCATAAATCCATTCGAGCATAGAAGGTTTGGCAGTCATTAAAATACTCCTGCAGATCTTCTGTAGATCTGCTTGGCACAGGTCATTCAGCGTGGTTGTGCCATGTCTTTGGAATCAATTTGCTAAGGTCAGCCCCTTGCCAACTCATATAACATGTAGCACAAGAGTTTTATCCTATGCCCCTAAAATAGTCTTAATCCATTCTACTATCATCTGATTTTGCTGTTAGTGCCTGTTCTTATGTGATTTTATTTTATAATTTAACATAATTGTGTTGAATTTACTTTAAGTATGAAGATTAAAAACATGGAGGCTGAAATCCAGTAGTAATTTGCAACTAGAGTAGGCCCAGTGAATCAGTGGGGATTTGGTGATTCAACTCCTTTGTAAGTTCCATCGATTCTACTTTAGTTGCAAGATATTACTGGATTTCAGCCAATGTATATTTAAACAAGTACACATGCATTAAAAAGTTTACTAATGTTTTCTTCTCACCTTTTCTTCTGTCCATCTTTCCCTTTTTTTATTTGTTTTCATTCTCTCTAGAAATGGAATGTGAGTCAGACAAAGATTCGCATAATATCAACAATAATATTCATATTGTTTGGATGTGTGCTGTTTGTTGCTCTTCCTGCAGTCATATTCAAGCATATAGAAGGCTGGAATACACTAGATGCAATTTATTTTGTAGTTATCACTTTAACAACCATTGGATTTGGTGATTACGTTGCAGGTAAGAGTTCTGTATTCTGCTGACAAACTTGTCATATGTACAGATATTTACAGAATGGTTATACATGATTTAAATGACTTTCCAGTATAGACTATATTGTTATGAGCCCTGTAGTCATATACTATCAATCTGTCTAAGTCGATATTATCAACAGAGATTAGTATCTTCCCATGAATTTCAGGCTTTCAGATTCTCTCATTGTTCTTAAATGTACTTGTCAGAATTGAAATTGTGCTCCTTTGTCATGCAAAATATTCATTCTACTATTAAGCTCCAGCTTCCATGGTGACCTATGAAGGAATTGATGCCAGAAAATTAGAAGCCATTCCAATCTGATGTATTCTTAATTTAAAAATTGCCATGAAAATGCCGAGTCAATCAATACATGGCAACAACAAATAGTAAAATTATTCTGAGACTCAGCTACAGTATTTCTCCTGTTTCTGTTGTGTATTTAAAGTAAAGGAATTTAGGATATTGTAAGGTATTATGGATTGAAATTATAGCCCCTAATATATGAAATGGTCCTAATTAGACAGTGGATGAATTAAAAAACAAATCGCAGTATTTGTCAGAAATTGCTGATTCATCTAATATTCGTCTCTTCGTATTTGTCAATTTTGGAGGCCCTGACAAGTATAAAGGGATAAATATTTACCCTTTTTTTTCATTCCCCCATAGCCAGAGACAGAAGACTAATCTCCTGGGCTTGTGTGCCTGCTGAACAGTTGATTGGCAGGCCCAAAGGCAGAGAGGGAAGGGCTAGGCTAGGCTATCCCCCACATCGCACAGATGACCCACACACCCACAGCCTGCCCCCCCAGCTCCTTCTCACTGTCCCCATTGCCTCCTTACCTTGGCCACTGGGTCACCCACTGCAAAGATGGCAGCTGCAGCTTCTCTTAGGGCTGGTTCTGATGCCCTAAGGGAAAATGGGCCACCATTTGCAAATATGGTGGCAACGGCTTCTATCAGGGCAGTTGAGCCAGCTCTATAGGAAACTGCATTACCCTTTGCAAAGATGGCGGTGCTGGCTTCCCTTCAGGCAATGGAGCTGTGCTGCCCTTTGCAAAGATGGCAAAAACATCTTCGCTTAGGGCAGTGGAGTCAGCTCTAAGGGAAACTGGGACACCCTTTGCAAATGGCAGCAAAGGGCGCATTTTCCCTTAGAGTCAGCTCCACTGCCCTAAGGGAAGCTGCTGCTGCAATCTTTGCAAAGACTGTGGCAGCAGAGACTGCAGTGGCAGAGACTGTAGTGCTGCAGGTGGCAGTAGCTGAGGTAGGAAGGTGAGGAGGCAGTGGGAATGATGTGGCGGATCAGGCTGTGTTTGGAGCTCCAGCTTCTTATTTTTAAAGACAGCCACAAGCTGTCTAAAAAAACCCTGATGAAATGATGAACCAGTTTGTGGTTTGTTGGTTCATTGGGGTTAATTCGTGGTTGGTAGTTTGTTACTCTTGACAAACTAAGATGAACCGCCATTTTGGCAGTTTGTTCGCCCAAGATGAACCACCATTTTGGCAGTTTGTTCGTATCTCTAGTCCCTAATCGTGCTGTGACTGAGGTGCATGCCTTGGACCCACAGTTGTTTAGAGTATGTAAACACACTCTAGGCATGCCTCTCCCATTTACTCATTTGTCCAATATCCCATGCGCATCTTATTTCTTAGCTCTACCAAGTTTTCTTACTTTTGTAGATCTGCTTCTGTATGACTGAACTTTGCCTTATATAATGGTTGTAGAACAAGGGCACACACTGAACTTTGCCTTATATAATGGTTGTAGAGCAAGGGCACACAACCTTTTTTAAAACCAAGAAATGATTCTGGTTTAGGAATTATTGCATGCTAGAGTGCAACACATAGATATACATGAAAATATGAATAGTTCCGTAGTTTATGTATCTGGCTGTGGAGCCAGAGGTTGGGATTGTGATAACTCACTGTGCCCCATTGACAGGGTCTGGACTCGATGATCCAGAAGGTCCATTTCAGCTCTTGACAGGGTCTGGACTCGATGATCCAGAGGGTCCATTTCAGCTCCGCAGTTATAAGATTTACTTCTAATTAGGGGAAAGATTTCTATGACATTTCACATTTTCTCTGCAAGCTACATTTAAACCCGGAAGTAAGTTCAAACATGTTTATGAGTAATCTGGCCTTTCTCACCAGATTACTCACAAACATGTTCAAACCCACCCATAAACTCAAGCATAGATTACGCGGTGGGGGGGGAATGACATGTCATAGATATCCTAAACATGTTCAAACCCACCCATAAACTCAAACGTAGGTTGGGGGGGGGATGACATGTCATAGATATCCTCTTTACTTATAATTATATCCTAGCAATCCTCTTTCCTTACTTCTGTCCACACATATTGTGCTTTTTGACACTGCCAACTACAACATTAATTGTCTTGAGTTATAACTGCTTTTCACTGCTTAAAACACATACAATATGTAGAAGCTACTAACGATTAATTGGTCGATCGACAGACAGATAGACAAAAAGACAGATAGGCTTGAATTATGATACATCTATTTCTGATACAAGAAGGGAACATACATGATTCCAAGACCAATTTCTAGTACAGTTTATTACAGTATTTTTTTAACTGTCATTGTTTTAACTGTGAGCTGCCTTGGGTCCCTGTGGAAGAAAGGCAGTGTATAAACAATGTGAACAAACAGAACAAAATAAAACTCATCTAAGTAGTAGTTTTTCAAATTTGATGTACTCTTCAATTCCAGAGTATGGGTATTTTTATCTTGTTTTTATGCACCAAAATGTATACTGCTGCTTTGTTTATATTAAGAATGCTATGTGCAAAGGCCCACTTACTTGTAACTAGGACACTGAGTTCATTAGCAGTTTCTGTTATTATATAGTTTTGCACATTTTCCTCTACGTGGTGCACTTGATGTAATAATCTTTTTGTACAGCTTCCAATGCCATTAAATATATATATATTATCAAGGAAAGTACAATAAAAGGCTATCTGAATGTGCTGCTTTCCTGGGTTTTACTGTTGCTCCTAGAGTCCTTTTCTGCATTTGCCTGTCTATATATATTTCAAATTCTTTGGTGCTGGAATATTTAGGAGCCATCAGAAAACATTTAGGCTTCCACACTGTACAAAAATAGGGAACAGTGACAAATTTGTATGTATGTATGAGGGATATATATTAGAATAGGAGCCATCAGAAAACATTTAGGCTTCAACACTGTACAAAAATGGGGAACAGTGACAAATTTGCATGTATGTATGAGGGATATATATTACAATTGAAGTTGAATTTAGGCACATACGTAATACATACATACATATATATATTCAGAGATATATATATGCAACATATGAATTGCTAATATGTATTTGCTTATGTGTCTAAATTCAACTTGAATTGTTTAGACAGATTCTCTGACCCTTTAAAATCATTTTATTTAGGCATTTAATTTATCTGTTCATGAGTCGTACACAGCTATAGGAAGACAATGAAGTCCACCTAGACCACAGTGATTTATACAAGAATATAAAAGGGCCTGCCAAAAAAATGTCTGGAAAATTCCTGTTACAAACTAAGCTGTAAACTATGTCCTCGCACCAACCCTCTTTGGGATCTTTTTTGCTGTCATGCTAAAGCATTCCATTGGAACTGCAACAGAAGGTGTATATCTCCAGACTAGATCAGACGGAAAGCTCTTTAATCTCTCTAGATTGAAAGCAAAGACCAAAGTCCAGCTGAAATGCATACGGGACTTCCTCTTCGCAGATGATGCAGCCATTGTTGCCCACTCTGCTGAAGACCTCCAACAACTCATGAATCGTTTCAGCAAGAACTGCCAAGACTTTGGACTAACAATCAGCCTGAAGAAAACACTAGTCATGGGCCAGGGCGTGGACTCACCTCCCTCTATTACAATCTCCACACAAGAATTGGAGGCTGTTCATGACTTTGTGTACCTTGGCTCAACCATCTCTGACACCCTCTCTCTAGATGTCGAGCTAGATAAACACATTGGCAAAGCAGCTACCATGTTCTCTAGATTCACAAAGAGAGTATGGCTCAATACGAGCTGACGATACATACCAAGATCCAGGTCTGTAGAGCCTGTGTCCTGAGCACACCAGGTCTATAGAGCCTGTGTCCTGAGCACATTCCTGTACTGCAGTGAGTCCTGGACACTTTGTGCCTGGCAGGAGAGGAAGCTGAACACCTTCCATATGGGTTGCCTCCGATGGATTCTTGGCATCGCCTGGTAGGATAAAAGTTTCAAATAGAGTAGTCCTAGAACGAGCTGGAATTTTCAGCATGCATACATTACTGAAACAGCGACGTCTATGTTGGCTTAGGCACATCGTGAGAATGGCTGATGGTTGGATTCCAAAGGATCTCCTGTATGGAGAATTAGTGCAGGGAAATTGCCCCAGAGGGAGACCACAGCTGTGATACAAGGATATCTGCAAGCGGGATCTGAAGGCCTTAGGAATGAACCTCAACAGATGGGAAACCTTGACATCTGAGTGTTCAGCCTGGAGGCAGGCGATGTATCACAGCCTCTCCCAGTTTGAAGAGACCTTTGTCCAGCAGGCAGAGACAAAGAGGCAGTCCCGAAAGCAGCAAAATCAGGGAACTGGACAGGGGACAGACTGTATTTGTCTTCAGTGCGGAAGGAATTGTCACTCTCAAATTGACTTTCTAAAATCAGGGAACTGGACAGGGGACAGACTCTGGAAGGAATTGGCCTCTCAAACTGGCCTTCCTGGCCACACTAGGCGCTGTTCCAAGCCCTCTATTCTGAGCACGCTACCATAGTCTCTCGAGACTGAAGGATGCCTAATTTAATCTGTTGAGAAGAGCAGATAAGATGCAGATCAGGATTATTGTACATGTCATTCATTATTCATGTGCAGAGATGTAGGCTAAATGGCCTGTGCAGTTGTGGGTGGTCAAGTGTAGCACTGTACATTTGTCATATGGTATATTCCTGGTCCACA